TTGCACCAGTGAGCTCCTTATGAGGAAGTTAAAGGAAGCCACAGGTTGGGCCATCAGATCCTGAGAAACATAAAGTCAAAGTTGAGCTTCACCAACCCCGCATGTGACAGAGCGCTGATCTCCAAAATACACGAAGAACACAAGATGCTTGTCACCAAAACACCAAATGATCCAATTGAAAGGAAGGGAACAGAAATAACTGGAGAATTCTCAATATAGAGTCCCAAAAGGCAAAAGACATTTGAGAAAGTGATCAACCTCCTTAGCCTTCAGGGAAATGCCCATCAAACAACTCTGAGATACCTTGGTGATCCTATCAGAAAGGTTAAAATAAAAAACAAAAACAAAATTGACAGCCAGTGCTGCAGAGGGTGTGGAGAAGAGGAACACCCTCCATCGTTGGTGGGAGCTCAAAATGATGCGGCCAATTGTTGTCAGGAAAACAGAATCAGTCTACCTCAAGATCCGGCAATTACACTGCCTGGCAAATACCCCAAGGATGCACATCCGGACGGGAAGCACATACGTTCACCTGTGTTCCTAGCAGCTTTGTTTGAAATAGCCAGACATGGAAGCCATCTAGACAGATGCCCCTCAGCCCACGAATGCATGTTGAAAATGTGGTATCTCTACACAAAGGAGTTGGGTTACTCAGCAGGACAAAACAGTGGAAGCTGGAATTACCAAGGCAAACGGAGGGCACTGCAAGAAACCTGTCCCGACTGAGGCAAAGCAGCAGCCACGAGAGACAAGCCTTGAAGTACTCACTCATAGATGGATGTTAGGCACAGAGGAAAGGGCCACCCACTAGCCTCTGATCCTTACCTCAGGAGAAACGAGGAAACAAGGAGGACATGAAGAGAGAGACACATATGTGGACACCTGAAAAGGGAGAGTGGACATGAACCTCTGAGCTCATTGGAAGCCTGGGGGGAGAGGAGAAAAATGAAACAGGGGAGAGGAGGGTCAGGCGAAGGACATGGATGAGACAGCCTGAATGAGGGGAGGAACAGAGCAGAGCAGAGCAGAGCAGGGAAGGAGATACCTTAACAGAGGGAGCCAGATAAGGCTTTAAGAGAAGAATGGCACTAGGGAGAAGTTCAGAGGTGCACAAAAATGGCCACGACTTAGTGTCTTGGCATTAGTGGAGAGGCCCCATTGATGGCCTTTTGTCCTCGTGAGACCGATGGCTTCCCACAATTGCCATCGCAGAGCCTTCACCCAGTAGCTGATGGAAGGATAAGCAGACAGGCCCAGCTAAGCTCTGAGCCATCCTCCTGGAATACAGTTGTTGCAGGTGATGGGGGCAGGTGGCCCGAGTAAAGCAAGCTAGACCTGGCCAGGATATCCTACAGAAAGAGCTGCCTCGAGCAAGTAATTGAGAGCACTGGGAACCCAGTTCTAATGCTGGGGAAGCCGCACTGGACCGATCCCTAGCCCTCTGCCTGTGGATGTCATGTAGGAGGCCTGGCAATTCTATTGGACCACTAATGGATTGCTTTAGTAGGCACTGGCAATGTCCTTGGCTTGGTGTTTTCCTTCTAGTTTTTCTCTGGGCTGGATTTGTGGATAAGTGTTGTTTAAATACGTTTGTTTGTTTTTTTTTATAATGGAAAGTCGTGTTTTCTAATCTATAGTGTCTTGATTTTGCTGGGTATAGTAGTCTACTTGGCATTTCTTTGTGTTTCTTAGTTTCTGCATAATGTCTGTCCAGGACCTTCTGGCTTTCAAAGTGTGCATTGAGAAATTGGGTGTTACTCTGCTGGGACTGCCCTTATGTTTTACATCTGGCCAGCCAATTGGTAGCACTGACACTGTCTGAAACATACTTCCACAGATTAGAAAATGAACCACAGCAAAATCCATGTGCTGTTAATTTAACAGACATGTTAAATAACATAAAGTATGAAAAGGGTTTCAAAAGTGTTCTTTACAGTGTATGGTAAACCAACAGAAAGATCGTTAACTTGTATTTCCTTTTCAGAATATAATGTAGGTAATGTAAGCACTCCCATGTTCACAAAGAGACTAAAGAAAGAAGAAAAGATAATGAACTCATCACCAGTGTCATAGTAATTGGGCAAGGCTTCTCAAACTTTTCCATGTCAGATCATTTTGGATTTGTTTTAAATGACCAAACATTGCTTTGTTATGAGAAGAAAAATCTCAAACCAACAAACAGTTCATCTCACACTTGTTATACATTTTAAAATGTATGGAAGCCTAGCATTGTGTTTCATGCCTATAATCCCAGCACTTGGGAGGTGGGGGGTTCACAGATCTCTATGAGTTCAAGGCCAGCATGTTCTACAAACTGATTTCAAGGACAGATTGGGCTGTTCCTCAGAGAAACCCTCTGTGAAGAAACAAACAAAAATAAAAATCAACAATGATAAAACACATATTATACCAGAAAACTCAGCAATAACCCCTGAGGTTCTTGGTCTCACTAATAAAGGAAGTTTTACAAAAGACTACATGGAAATGTGATGACAATAAAATATGTAGATTTATTTATGGTCTTTTCTGTCTATGGGTATTCTACATGAATGCATACAGGTAGAGCCCTTGATTTCTGGTGATCAGAGTGTCAGAACCCCAGGAACTGGAGTTACAGTTGTTCATGATCCTCCACTATATTGCTGAGAACTGAACAAGGGCAACCTGCAAGAACAAGGTCTCCTGAGTGCTCAGCCATCTCTCCAGCCCCTGGAAGACAATGCTCATGCTTGTAGAGGACTTGCTCTTGCAGAAGACCCAGGTTCGGTTCTCAGCATTCACCAGGAGGCTCACACCCCTGTATAACTGCACTTCCAGGAAAACTTTCATGACATTTCTGCCATTTCTGACCTCGTTGGGTACCAGAAAAACTCCCACACAAACAATAAAATAAATAGCCCTAAGGAGGAAAACAAAGAAATGAATCACTGCAAATCGACAGGGCAGGTAAGCTACAAATCTCCGCAGCAGCTGTCCCCAGGAATCCGTGTAGCAGAAGCAGAGGAAACGCTGTATCATTTGATGTAAGCCTGCAGGGATGACTCCCACATGGTTAATAAGCAGCCACAGAGTAGGGAGGGGGCTTCAGAGAAAGAGTGAAGCTCAACAGTGTTAGGGAAGCAGGAAGAGTTAGTGAAACCACACCTAGAACGGAGAAAGAAAAGTGTGCAGGTCGTCCTGATGATTGGCGTGGAGGTGTGCTTGGTAGTCAAGCTGTGTGCTGATATCATGCCTGATTCTAGTTCTGTTCTCCTCCGGGATCTGATCATTGCCCCTTTTATACTCAGTTTCCCCACTTAAAATAAATGAATCATCCTCTCACTCGGCTCCAAATATAAGTCCTTTCCATTTTCATTAGAGAATGCATGGAAGTCAGATAATAAATTTAGGAAGCCACATTTGGCGAGACAAATTCCTAAGTTTTCTTACTCAGAAGTACATTGTCCTACTGTCCACGCATTCAGTTCCCAGTTATAGGACTTGCCTCACTGGCTCTGATCTTGCAATAGATCTGAAAGCAACATTGTCAAGATTCTTCCATCACCCCGCCCAGTACCACCGAAGAAAACAAAAACAAAGTGTGGCATTGAATAAAATTCATTATAAAACCAACTTTCCCACAAGAGAAACAGACACACCCTAGAGGCAAAGGAAGGGTACCTGATTCCACTCCTTGAGTGGTGTGTGACTGGCTGAGACTTGCTAGCAGGCAGGAGGAAGGCTGATGCTGGGTGCTGTCATGTGATTTGCGAGCTGGAGTGCCCCTCCCTCGCTCCCCAGGGCTCTGTCCCAGAGCCTTCTCTCAGGTCCCTGGGCTCCTGGTTTCCGTTCTTGCATCTCTCAGGTCAGAGTAAGTAAGGCTTTGATCCCAGAGACTGGAGGCGAATGCTGGGGGTGTGAGGCCAGCTGGGCTCTAGGAGGGAAAGACAGGAGGTGGAGTTTGGGACAAAGGAGGAGGGCTTGGGTGTAGACCACAAGGCAGGGGGAAGGGGAGGCTGCTCCGGAGCTTGCAGCCACCAGGGAGCTTGCAGCCTCTGTGCAGAAAGCAGAGAAGCAGACACCCCCAGTATCCCCGCCTGCCTGCTACCCCCACCCCATATCCTAGCTGCTTTCCTACACCTTCTCTGCCTCCTTTTAGAGTCTCAGAACCGAGCCTGGGCTTGGAGGAGCCCTCTCTTAGAGAGGCGAGTGTGAGAGAGAGAGAGAGAGAGAGAGAGAGAGAGAGAGAGAGAGAGAGAGAGAGAGAGAGAGAGAGAGGGAGGGAGGGAGGGAGGGAGGGAGAGAGAGAGAGAGAGAGAGAGAGAGAGAGAGAGAGAGAGAGAGAGAGAGAGGCAACCTTCTGCCATTACTGACCCAAAAGCTGTGCAGCGCCGGAGGTGGTCTCTGGAGTTGCATCCAGGGCAAAAGACTCACAGACCCCAAAATAGTTAGAAGAGCGTCCTCACTGGAGCTCAAGGCTCGAAAGGAAATGGCGGCTGGGGAGCAGGGAGGAATGGAGGAGGACAAGTCCTGAATCCTGTTTCCCAGTCACAGCTTCTTCACTGAGTGTGTAGACACAGCCCCACCCCACCCCACCGCCACGCCCCTTGCCCTGTAAGCTTATCTGTGCCTGCCACTGCCTCCTTGCTGGGACACCTGGAAAGAAGGGGCGGCCTGCTCTCTGTCGCTGCAGCATGGCCAGGGGGCACGGGAAGGTTTGTGTCTCCACCGCGCACCCCCACCCTATCTATCACACAGCGTTTGCCACACTGAAGGAGCACAGAGAAGGTGGCAGGACCTGCCAGGGTATGCTTACCTCACCTGCGAGGGAAGGAAGGGTGCGGGGCAGAAAGCCCACTTGGAGGGCAGCCGGGCTTAGTTAGAGAACCATTCTCAAGGACAAGATGCAAAGACTATGTGAACGTGCCTTTGGCGTCTGCTCTTCAGTCTCTCAGTCTCGGTGCCTTCTCTATTTCCTCTTCCCGCCCCCACCCCACCCCAATCTCTACCTCCAGGACAGAAAAATAACAATCCGGACATGGAAGAAGTCTCCAGGGAGAAGGAAGGAGGGCCTTGGAAGCAAGCACAGGTGGGAAATGGTAAAGAGCCACAGGAAGAGGCACAGTCAGAAGCAGCTTTTCCTCTGGAAGACAAAGAAACGTCAGAGAGCCAGGCAAAGGCAGGAGATGAGGGGGTGCTGCCAAGGCGCCAAGGGCAGCCAGAGCCCCAGAGAAGGGCAAAGCAGGAAGGAGGGCCAGAGAGACAGGGAAAGCCAGAATTTAGTAAAGGGAGCCCTGCTGTAAAGCGCCCAGCTGAGGACCACCTGCCCAGAAAAGCCAAAAGGAAAACCAACAAGGGGCTGGCCCACCGCATCAAGCAATATAAGGAGGCCATTCACGATCTGCACTTCAGCAACGAGGACATGATCAGAGAATTTGACAACATGGCCAGGGTAAAGGAGGATGAGAAAAGAACAAGCAGAAGATGGCACAGATCTTCTGGATGCAAAGAAGTTTGCAGGACCCTTTCTACCCAAGGGGCCCAAGGGAATTCAGGGGTGGCTGCAGGGCACCTCGCAGGGACATCGAAGACATCCCTTATGTTTAGTTCCCCTTGGGCACTCATAGGGCATAGTGCTCTAACCTTATGCAGCTGCTTTGATTTAGGCCTTCCCCATGTAAGCTGCAGCCTGTTTGACCCCACTCCCTGCTGTGTTCTGATCCCAGTGTAGTTGATTTCCCTTCACTGCATGGGAAGATATTCAGAGTGCACTGTCAATCCCAAGTACATAAGCCACAGAACCCTCTATTTGGCATCAGCCCACTTTTGTGAAACTGCAACAGAGTAATCTGCATGGAGAAAACGAGTCTGGGAATTACTTGTGTCGTTCTTTATTGTTCTGTCAACAGTTTATTGTCTCCTAAGGTGACTGACTGCTCCTTCTGGGCATAAGATACAGGAGTTGGGAAGTAGTCATAAGCACTCACAGGTTGTTGCATGGGCGAGTGGAGTCATTGCGATGTTTATTTCCTGGGTGTAACATGGAAGGTAGCATTGTATTACTCCTGTGGCTGCATGAGGGAAGAGTCAATCTGTCCTTTACTGCTGTAAGGCCGAACCCCCGATGCCTGTGAAATGGGGGTAAATCTTACCAGGTAGGGGTGTGGGGGGGGGCAGTGACTGAAGCACTGAGAATGTAAACTGCTATGGTTTGCTCCTGCTCTCCGCCCTCCCCACTAGGAGCTCTGGAACCTGGTCAGACACTTGGTGTGGGCCAAGGCAGGTCTCCACTTTGTCCAGGACTAAGTCCATATAGCTGAGAGTCCGTGCCATGGCTCCATGCTGCCATGCCTCTTGTCACAGTTCCTTTCTCCTCTCAGGACACTGTTGCTGATGGTGATCCAGAGGCTCTGCTAGAGCAAAGAAACCCCTTAGCCCAACAACAGGATAGAGACACCCATTCTCGACTCCAATAGAATTGTGTTCCCTGTTGGGGAGGCCCCAGTTATCATTTGGGTCTTGATAATCCATGAGATGCATGGGGACCCTCTTTCTTGCCTTTTGTCTATTTCCACACAGCCCCTCCATAGAACTGAGATAGAGGCGAACGATGCAGCAAACAGTGTCAATGAACAGGTGCCATGCTGTTCTCCGCAGTCACCTGAGCGTTCACACACCTTTCTTCGGGGTTTGTTTCCCCAGAAACTCAGGTCAAGCCCTCTCTTTCCATTTCCACAGACTCATCACCACCACTTTGTGAGGCTTCCCTCTATCTGATTAGGATTAGTTTATTTCTTTACAGTTGTTTTAAAATAGACCTTTTGGTAATAGTTCTGTATGTTTCCAGAATTATTACAGACATGACACCCAGTTTCCATGTTCTCCATAGCAAGTGTCAACTCTTAACTAATGCCTGTCATTATGATGATTCAGTTGCCAAAATCCACACTAATGCTTTAATACATACTGAATAATGTGCCCTATTCACATCCTCCAGTGTCCCTCTCTCTGTTGTAGGAGCCTGCTTATGCTACCACATTACATTTTAAATCATATTTCTGAGGATTCCACATCTTCCTTGGGAGTTTTTCAAAGTTCACCTAGTTGTAATGACCTTATCACTTTCGAAGCATAGTTTTTAGATATTTATTGTCTCACAAGATGGCTTTGCTTTATGTTTTTCTTCTTAGTGCACCCATAGCTTCGTCTTCTTCCTGTTGCTGTGATATACGCTATGGCTTAAAAAAAAAAAAAAAAAAAAAAAAAAAAAAAAAACTAGAAGAGGAAAGAATTATTTATTGCAGCTCATGGGTTATGGTCACTGTCCATCATCAAGGGAACCCAGGGCCGGAACTGGAGGCATGAGCTTTAAAGAAAATTACTACCGGCTCTCGTCTAGGTTCACAGTAAGGTACCTTTCATATACTAGGCCTTATCTGTGTAGCTATGATACTTACTGCCCACAGTAGTCTGCGACCTCCTACATCAACTAGAAATCAAGAATACGCCCCACAGAAATGCCCACACGTCATCTTCATGATGCAGTACTTCAGTTGAGACTCTTCCCAGGCATCAACTTGACCACCCAGTTTAGCCGTCACATCTTATGCTAATGCAATTTTGGAGAAAGAAATCACAAGTGTAAAATTCCATTCTTGTCACATCATATAAAGAATAAAAAGAATATTAAAGCATATATGGTATAGTAGTGGCAGGAATGTCATGGAAATGTCCAACCACTTTTTGATTGGTTTTAAATCCTACTTCACAAGATGAAACCCATACCTCAAATTATTATTGGTCCAAGAATTTAAGGATAAATAGATTGGTTTTAAATCCTACTTCACAAGATGAAACCCATACCTCAAATTATTATTGGTCCAAGAATTTATGGATAAATAGGTCATAGGCCCTAGGGGAGCACCCGTTGCCATTATGTGGCTAAATGGGCATAGTATTAAACTAACTCCTAATGACTTTTAAGCCTGTGTATCTTTAAACCCTCGTCTACAAACCGCAGAAATCTACAACTGGCCAATGTTGCAGAGCATAAAAGAATATAGAATATTCATACCTAAAAGTAACACATATACTACAGCCCCACGAGCTCACATATGAACTCAGCATGGTTTCACAGCATCTAGAAAACCTGTGGAAGCCCTAATCAGATGGAGCTATTGGCAATTGTTACCTGCTAGGAGGGGGAGAGAAAGTTTCTCTGTAAGAGTGTAGCGTCGTCCGCACTTGATGTCTGTTCTGAGATATCTACAGTATGTATATCAATGTCACTATTGTAATCATCATAGAAACTCAACTTCATTAGTATATCAATGGAGACTCACATGGTCTCGGGAGAAGGGCAGGTTCCCTTCTCCCAGGTATTAGAGTTCAAATGAGTATGTGTTTGTCTCATAATAGAGGCTGAAACTCCTGGATCATGGCACAACATTGGCTTTCCTAATGACTTCTAAGTCAGCTGGTTCCTACTTTGGTACTATATGTAAGGATATAGCAATGGAAGAAGCGCATGGGACAGTCATGTGCTATGGATGTCCTTTCCTGCTACACACCATCCCGGACCCATTTTCCAAATGCAGGTGGGTAATAATGGAGGATAAGACAAGGAATAAGTCTAAGCCCAACTCCCCTTTCTATTAAATGAGCAGAAAAATGCTCACCCACAGGATTGCCTGTACCTTTGCTGATAGCATATGTGAGCGTGATGGCAGATGCCATTATGTATATATGTTTCTCATACTGGTTAATGAATACAGCACTGTTGGCCAATAGGAAAGGAGATAGGAGGGACTAGGAGACAAGGAGGAAAGAGGAAGTAGGAAGGAGGGGTCAAGATGGAGAGACTGGAGAAAGCAGAATGCCGGCGGCTCCCCAGTAAGAGAAGACCATGTGGAAATACTAGATTAACAGAAATGGGTTAATACTTAAGACAGAGCTAGCCGATAAGAAACAAGTAACTGGCCAATAGCATTATATCAAATACAGAGTCTCTGTGTGTTAATTGGGGCTGGCACGATGGCGGGACAAGACCGGCTGTGGGAGGAAAAACCATACTCCTTACATATAGCGCCCATGTGGCTAATAATAACTTCCACTTAATATATAACAAAATCTTAAAAAAGGGTTTTAGAAACAAAAGAACAGAGACAAGCAAGGTTTCTTGGTAGCAGCATTTTTCTCGGTTGGACTCTGCTTTGCAAGAGACAACCAGATTAGTGGTGCATGGCTCCTTTATGAAAAGTTTCCTGACTCAGCATAAGCTGGAAAAAACTGCAAGGCTTTTAAGAAACTCTGCTAACAATTTATTTGTGTGTATGAGAGATGGCAATGGCAGTGACCACATCTCCAAGCCGGCAGCATGCTTGCTGGATGGCAGCAGACCAAGGCAGTGACCACAGCTCTCAGTGCTGGAGGTAAAATAGCCTCCTCCATGTTTGATAAACCAAGGCAGAAACAACAATGACTTTCATTTAGCAATGTCATGGCAAAAAAAAAAAAAAAAAAAAAAAAAAAAAAGATAAAGATTTACAGTAAAGACAGATTCATATTAAGAAAAACCTCTAAAGGTTTACAGTATGTTTTAAAATATACATAGGCTTGGGAGAGAAAAGAAATAAAGTGGTTTTAAAAATACAGGGAGGAGCTGGGTGTGGTGGCACATGCCTTTAATCCCAGCACTCAGGAGACAGAGGCAAGCAGATCTCTGTGATTATAAAGTAAACCTGGTATGCAGAGTGAATTCCAGGACAGATAAGATTTACACAGTGAAACCCTGTCTCAAAAAATCAAAAAAATGAAAAAATAGAAGAAAGAGAGTAATGATAAAGACACGTAAAGATGGAAAGCTCAGAGAGAATCTGGATACTGTATGGGGTTATATTGTCTTTGTATCTTTTGACTGCTGAGGAAATAACAACAACTATTCAAGGAAATACTGCTGGATTAATTCAATTTATATATTTTTAAAATGCTTTGACTCAAAAATTTAAGTCCAAGGACAAGTTACTGGGGAAAAGGATTTCTATTTTTTGTTTCCACAGAAAATAAAAAGCTGTGGATTCCTTCCAGACTAATGTGGTTTGAGCAAGCCAGACCCCCTGAAACAGCATTCCTGGGGATCCAACAGCTAAAACATGGCAGCCTTGCAGACTACAGCCAGGATTTCTGCATCTTCTTAGGATCCCTATAACAGCGCCCCCTGTCAGCAGAAAGTAGTTTGGAAAGAACGACACCCAAATTCCCAAATATTGTTTATAAATGTTTGTTTTCATTTAAATGGGGTTGGTTATAAATGGTTAATGACCGCAGCCAATCTTTTTAAAGGTTAAAAAGGGGATTATGATATAGACATGATTACTTTGTTTTGGAATGGATTTTCATTTATGGATACAAATTTAAAGTCAATTTTGTGATATGTATATTTCTCCTTTTGTTTAGGTATTATGTTTTCATAGCTCATTTAAATATAATGTATAACTTAATACAGATTTTAGATAGTTACCTATAATATCAAAACTTATAGTTAGGTGAGTTAGGTTTTCTAGATATGTAGAGATGTATTTGAGATGAATAGGCATTCTTCAAACCTTTCAAAGACCTACAGAATATGACATTTAAAATGGTTTAGGGTTTTCTTGGCAGTGAGACATAATTGCTCCTGGCAACACCACCTGCGTCAGAAAGGAAGATGGACATTGAAGAAACTCATTATGGAGATTACTTATAATATGGCAAAACTAGCACTTTGAACAATATACTGCTCTTGTCTGGACTGTTTGACTTTATGCTGTATAAACTGGACATGCAAGACCCACTGAAAAGTGTCTGCTGATTCAAGATGGACATTGCTACAGAGTTCCTGCTTCATGGAAGAGTCTGCCAGACAGTCTTCAGGACACAGAGAGAAATGACTGACAAACTGACAGTACAAGAAGACAGTTTAAAGTTTCCTGCTTTGCTGAAGAGTCTGCTAGACACACTATGTCCTATGAGCTAAAGATGAAAGATTACAGAGGAACTTCAGATGACTGACAAGGCAAGATATTTCTGTCATTTCTAGAATTTATATACTATCCTTCTGTGGTGTTTGAAGGAGTTGAAGACAGATAGTTATGGTTATAGTTTTCCTTAGTTAGGCTTGAAGATAAGTTACATATAGAACTTTAGACTCACAAATATAGGATAGATTATAGAATAGTTTCTTAAATCTTGCTATATGTTAATGGGCTAAATAGTGTTAACTGTGATTCTTATTTGATAACTGTTATGTGATATATTTTGCTATGTTAAGGTTAAAACTCTTCTAGGGCCTATGACCTATTTATCCTTAAATTCTTGGACCAATAATAATTTGAGGTATGGGTTTCATCTTGTGAAGTAGGATTTAAAACCAATCAAAAAGTGGTTGGACATTTCCATGACATTCCTGCCACTACTATACCATATATGCTTTAATATTCTTTTTATTCTTTATATGATGTGACAAGAATGGAATTTTACACTTGTGATTTCTTTCTCCAAAATTGCATTAGCATAAGATGTGACGGCTAAACTGGGTGGTCAAGTTGATGCCTGGGAAGAGTCTCAACTGAAGTACTGCATCATGAAGATGACGTGTGGGCATTTCTGTGGGGCGTATTCTTGATTTCTAGTTGATGTAGGAGGTCGCAGACTACTGTGGGCAGTAAGTATCATAGCTACACAGATAAGGCCTAGTATATGAAAGGTACCTTACTGTGAACCTAGACGAGAGCCGGTAGTAATTTTCTTTAAAGCTCATGCCTCCAGTTCCGGCCCTGGGTTCCCTTGATGATGGACAGTGACCATAACCCATGAGCTGCAATAAATAATTCTTTCCTCTTCTAGTTTTTTTTTTTTTTTTTTTTTTTTTTTTTTTAGCCATAGCATATATCACAGCAACAGGAAGAAGACGAAGCTATGGGTGCACTAAGAAGAAAAACATAAAGCAAAGCCATCTTGTGAGACAATAAATATCTAAAAACTATGCTTCGAAAGTGATAAGGTCATTACAACTAGGTGAACTTTGAAAAACTCCCAAGGAAGATGTGGAATCCTCAGAAATATGATTTAAAATGTAATGTGGTAGCATAAGCAGGCTCCTACAACAGAGAGAGGACACTGGAGGATGTGAATAGGGCACATTATTCAGTATGTATTAAAGCATTAGTGTGGATTTTGGCAACTGAATCATCATAATGACAGGCATTAGTTAAGAGTTGACACTTGCTATGGAGAACATGGAAACTGGGTGTCATGTCTGTAATAATTCTGGAAACATACAGAACTATTACCAAAAGGTCTATTTTAAAACAACTGTAAAGAAATAAACTAATCCTAATCAGATAGAGGGAAGCCTCACAAAGTGGTGGTGATGAGTCTGTGGAAATGGAAAGAGAGGGCTTGACCTGAGTTTCTGGGGAAACAAACCCCGAAGAAAGGTGTGTGAACGCTCAGGTGACTGCGGAGAACAGCATGGCACCTGTTCATTGACACTGTTTGCTGCATCGTTCGCCTCTATCTCAGTTCTATGGAGGGGCTGTGTGGAAATAGACAAAAGGCAAGAAAGAGGGTCCCCATGCATCTCATGGATTATCAAGACCCAAATGATAACTGGGGCCTCCCAACAGGGAACACAATTCTATTGGAGTCGAGAATGGGTGTCTCTATCCTGTTGTTGGGCTAAGGGGTTTCTTTGCTCTAGCAGAGCCTCTGGATCACCATCAGCAACAGTGTCCTGAGAGGAGAAAGGAACTGTGACAAGAGGCATGGCAGCATGGAGCCATGGCACGGACTCTCAGCTATATGGACTTAGTCCTGGACAAAGTGGAGACCTGCCTTGGCCCACACCAAGTGTCTGACCAGGTTCCAGAGCTCCTAGTGGGGAGGGGCGGAGAGCAGGAGCAAACCATAGCAGTTTACATTCTCAGTGCTTCAGTCACTGCCCCCCCCACACCCCTACCTGGTAAGATTTACCCCCATTTCACAGGCATCGGGGTTCGGCCTTACAGCAGTAAAGGACAGATTGACTCTTCCCTCATGCAGCCACAGGAGTAATACAATGCTACCTTCCATGTTACACCCAGGAAATAAACATCGCAATGACTCCACTCGCCCATGCAACAACCTGTGAGTGCTTATGACTACTTCCCAACTCCTGTATCTTATGCCCAGAAGGAGCAGTCAGTCACCTTAGGAGACAATAAACTGTTGACAGAACAATAAAGAACGACACAAGTAATTCCCAGACTCGTTTTCTCCATGCAGATTACTCTGTTGCAGTTTCACAAAAGTGGGCTGATGCCAAATAGAGGGTTCTGTGGCTTATGTACTTGGGATTGACAGTGCACTCTGAATATCTTCCCATGCAGTGAAGGGGAAATCAACTACACTGGGATCAGAACACAGCAGGGAGTGGGGTCAAACAGGCTGCAGCTTACATGGGGAAGGCCTAAATCAAAGCAGCTGCATAAGGTTAGAGCACTATGCCCTATGAGTGCCCAAGGGGAACTAAACATAAGGGATGTCTTCGATGTCCCTGCGAGGTGCCCTGCAGCCACCCCTGAATTCCCTTGGGCCCCTTGGGTAGAAAGGGTCCTGCAAACTTCTTTGCATCCAGAAGATCTGTGCCATCTTCTGCTTGTTCTTTTTCTCATCCTCCTTTACCCTGGCCATGTTGTCAAATTCTCTGATCATGTCCTCGTTGCTGAAGTGCAGATCGTGAATGGCCTCCTTATATTGCTTGATGCGGTGGGCCAGCCCCTTGTTGGTTTTCCTTTTGGCTTTTCTGGGCAGGTGGTCCTCAGCTGGGCGCTTTACAGCAGGGCTCCCTTTACTAAATTCTGGCTTTCCCTGTCTCTCTGGCCCTCCTTCCTGCTTTGCCCTTCTCTGGGGCTCTGGCTGCCCTTGGCGCCTTGGCAGCACCCCCTCATCTCCTGCCTTTGCCTGGCTCTCTGACGTTTCTTTGTCTTCCAGAGGAAAAGCTGCTTCTGACTGTGCCTCTTCCTGTGGCTCTTTACCATTTCCCACCTGTGCTTGCTTCCAAGGCCCTCCTTCCTTCTCCCTGGAGACTTCTTCCATGTCCGGATTGTTATTTTTCTGTCCTGGAGGTAGAGATTGGGGTGGGGTGGGGGCGGGAAGAGGAAATAGAGAAGGCACCGAGACTGAGAGACTGAAGAGCAGACGCCAAAGGCACGTTCACATAGTCTTTGCATCTTGTCCTTGAGAATGGTTCTCTAACTAAGCCCGGCTGCCCTCCAAGTGGGCTTTCTGCCCGCACCCTTCCTTCCCTCGCAGGTGAGGTAAGCATACCCTGGCAGGTCCTGCCACCTTCTCTGTGCTCCTTCAGTGTGGCAAACGCTGTGTGATAGATAGGGTGGGGGTGCGCGGTGGAGACACAAACCTTCCCGTGCCCCTGGCCATGCTGCAGCGACAGAGAGCAGGCCGCCCCTTCTTTCCAGGTGTCCCAGCAAGGAGGCAGTGGCAGGCACAGATAAGCTTACAGGGCAAGGGGCGTGGCGGTGGGGTGGGGTGGGGCTGTGTCTACACACTCAGTGAAGAAGCTGTGACTGGGAAACAGGATTCAGGACTTGTCCTCCTCCATTCCTCCCTGCTCCCCAGCCGCCATTTCCTTTCGAGCCTTGAGCTCCAGTGAGGACGCTCTTCTAACTATTTTGGGGTCTGTGAGTCTTTTTGCCCTGGATGCAACTCCAGAGACCACCTCGGCGCTGCACAGCTTTTGGGTCAGTAATGGCAGAAGGTTGCCTCTCTCTCTCTCTCTCTCTCTCTCTCTCTCTCTCTCTCTCTCTCTCTCTCTCTCCCTCCCTCCCTCCCTCCCTCCTCTCCTCTCTCTCTCTCTCTCTCTCTCTCTCTCTCTCTCTCTCTCTCTCTCTCTCTCTCTCTCTCTCTCTCTCTCTCTCTCAGCACTCTCTCTAAGAGAGGGCTCCTCCAAGCCCAGGCTCGGTTCTGAGACTCTAAAAGGAGGCAGAGAAGGTGTAGGAAAGCAGCTAGGATATGGGGTGGGGGTAGCAGGCAGGCGGGGATACTGGGGGTGTCTGCTTCTCTGCTTTCTGCACAGAGGCTGCAAGCTCCCTGGTGGCTGCAAGCTCCGGAGCAGCCTCCCCTTCCCCCCTGCCTTGTGGTCTACACCCAAGCCCTCCTCCTTTGTCCCAAACTCCACCTCCTGTCTTTCCCTCCTAGAGCCCAGCTGGCCTCACACCCCCAGCATTCGCCTCCAGTCTCTGGGATCAAAGCCTTACTTACTCTGACCTGAGAGATGCAAGAACGGAAACCAGGAGCCCAGGGACCTGAGAGAAGGCTCTGGGACAGAGCCCTGGGGAGCGAGGGAGGGGCACTCCAGCTCGCAAATCACATGACAGCACCCAGCATCAGCCTTCCCTCCTGCCTGCTAGCAAGTCTCAGCCAGTCACACACCACTCAAGGAGTGGAATCAGGTACCCTTCCTTTGCCTCTAGGGTGTGTCTGTTTCTCTTGTGGGAAAGTTGGTTTTATAATGAATTTTATTCAATGCCACACTTTGTTTTTGTTTTCTTCGGTGGTACTGGGCGGGGTGATGGAAGAATCTTGACAATGTTGCTTTCAGATCTATTGCAAGATCAGAGCCAGTGAGGCAAGTCCTATAACTGGGAACTGAATGCGTGGACAGTAGGACAATGTACTTCTGAGTAAGAAAACTTAGGAATTTGTCTCGCCAAATGTGGCTTCCTAAATTTATTATCTGACTTCCATGCATTCTCTAATGAAAATGGAAAGGACTTATATTTGGAGCCGAGTGAGAGGATGATTCATTTATTTTAAGTGGGAAACTGAGTATAAAAGGGGCAATGATCAGATCCCGGAGGAGAACAGAACTAGAATCAGGCATGATATCAGCACACAGCTTGACTACCAAGCACACCTCCACGCCAATCATCAGGACGACCTGCACACTTTTCTTCTCCGTTCTAGGTGTGGTTTCACTAACTCTTCCTGCTTCCCTAACACTGTTGAGCTTCACTCTTTCTCTGAAGCCCCCTCCCTACTCTGTGGCTGCTTATTAACCATGTGGGAGTCATCCCTGCAGGCTTACATCAAATGATACAGCGTTTCCTCTGCTTCTGCTACACGGATTCCTGGGGACAGCTGCTGCGGAGATTTGTAGCTTACCTGCCCTGTCGATTTGCAGTGATTCATTTCTTTGTTTTCCTCCTTAGGGCTATTTATTTTATTGTTTGTGTGGGAGTTTTTCTGGTACCCAACGAGGTCAGAAATGGCAGAAATGTCATGAAAGTTTTCCTGGAAGTGCAGTTATACAGGGGTGTGAGCCTCCTGGTGAATGCTGAGAACCGAACCTGGGTCTTCTGCAAGAGCAAGTCCTCTACAAGCATGAGCATTGTCTTCCAGGGGCTGGAGAGATGGCTGAGCACTCAGGAGACCTTGTTCTTGCAGGTTGCCCTTGTTCAGTTCTCAGCAATATAGTGGAGGATCATGAACAACTGTAACTCCAGTTCCTGGGGTTCTGACACTCTGATCACCAGAAATCAAGGGCTCTACCTGTATGCATTCATGTAGAATACCCATAGACAGAAAAGACCATAAATAAATCTACATATTTTATTGTCATCACATTTCCATGTAGTCTTTTGTAAAACTTCCTTTATTAGTGAGACCAAGAACCTCAGGGGTTATTGCTGAGTTTTCTGGTATAATATGTGTTTTATCATTGTTGATTTTTATTTTTGTTTGTTTCTTCACAGAGGGTTTCTCTGAGGAACAGCCCAATCTGTCCTTGAAATCAGTTTGTAGAACATGCTGGCCTTGAACTCATAGAGATCTGTGAACCCCCACCTCCCAAGTGCTGGGATTATAGGCATGAAACACAATGCTAGGCTTCCATACATTTTAAAATGTATAACAAGTGTGAGATGAACTGTTTGTTGGTTTGAGATTTTTCTTCTCATAACAAAGCAATGTTTGGTCATTTAAAACAAATCCAAAATGATCTGACATGGAAAAGTTTGAGAAGCCTTGCCCAATTACTATGACACTGGTGATGAGTTCATTATCTTTTCTCTTCTTTCTTTAGTCTCTTTGTGAACATGGGAGTGCTTACATTACCTACATTATATTCTGAAAAGGAAATACAAGTTAACGATCTTTCTGTTGGTTTACCATACACTGTAAAGAACACTTTTGAAACCCTTTTCATACTTTATGTTATTTAACATGTCTGTTAAATTAACAGCACATGGATTTTGCTGTGGTTCATTTTCTAATCTGTGGAAGTATGTTTCAGACAGTGTCAGTGCTACCAATTGGCTGGCCAGATGTAAAACATAAGGGCAGTCCCAGCAGAGTAACACCCAATTTCTCAATGCACACTTTGAAAGCCAGAAGGTCCTGGACAGACATTATGCAGAAACTAAGAAACACAAAGAAATGCCAAGTAGACTACTATACCCAGCAAAATCAAGACACTATAGATTAGAAAACACGACTTTCCATTATAAAAAAAAAAAAACAAACGTATTTAAACAACACTTATCCACAAATCCAGCCCAGAGAAAAACTAGAAGGAAAACACCAAGCCAAGGACATTGCCAGTGCCTACTAAAGCAATCCATTAGTGGTCCAATAGAATTGCCAGGCCTCCTACATGACATCCACAGGCAGAGGGCTAGGATCGGTCCAGTGCGGCTTCCCCAGCATTAGAACTGGGTTCCCAGTGCTCTCAATTACTTGCTCGAGGCAGCTCTTTCTGTAGGATATCCTGGCCAGGTCTAGCTTGCTTTACTCGGGCCACCTGCCCCCATCACCTGCAACAACTGTATTCCAGGAGGATGGCTCAGAGCTTAGCTGGGCCTGTCTGCTTATCCTTCCATCAGCTACTGGGTGAAGGCTCTGCGATGGCAATTGTGGGAAGCCATCGGTCTCACGAGGACAAAAGGCCATCAATGGGGCCTCTCCACTAATGCCAAGACACTAAGTCGTGGCCATTTTTGTGCACCTCTGAACTTCTCCCTAGTGCCATTCTTCTCTTAAAGCCTTATCTGGCTCCCTCTGTTAAGGTATCTCCTTCCCTGCTCTGCTCTGCTCTGCTCTGTTCCTCCCCTCATTCAGGCTGTCTCATCCATGTCCTTCGCCTGACCCTCCTCTCCCCTGTTTCATTTTCTCCTCTCCCCCAGGCTTCCAATGAGCTCAGAGGTTCATGTCCACTCTCCCTTTTTCAGGTGTCCACATATGTGTGTCTCTCTTCATGTCCTCCTTGTTTCCTCGTTTCTCCTGAGGTAAGGATCAGAGGCTAGTGGGTGGCCCTTTCCTCTGTGCCTAACATCCATCTATGAGTGAGTACTTCGAAGGCTTGTCTCTCTGTGGCTGCTGCTTTGCCTCAGTCGGGACAGGTTTCTTGCAGTGCCCTCCGTTTGCCTTGGTAATTCCAGCTTCCACTGTTTTGTCCTGCTGAGTAACCCAACTCCTTTGTGTAGAGATACCACATTTTCAACATGCATTCGTGGGCTGAGGGGCATCTGTCTAGATGGCTTCCATGTCTGGCTATTTCAAACAAAGCTGCTAGGAACACAGGTGAACGTATGTGCTTCCCGTCCGGATGTGCATCCTTGGGGTATTTGCCAGGCAGTGTAATTGCCGGATCTTGAGGTAGACTGATTCCTGTTTTCCTGACAACAATTGGCCGCATCATTTTGAGCTCCCACCAACGATGGAGGGGTGTTCCTCTTTCTCCACACCCTCTGCAGCACTGGCTGTCAATTTTGTTTTTGTTTTTTATTTTAACCTTTCTGATAGGATCACCAAGGTATCTCAGAGTTGTTTGATGGGCATTTCCCTGAAGGCTAAGGAGGTTGATCACTTTCTCAAATGTCTTTTGCCTTTTGGGACTCTATATTGAGAATTCTCCAGTTATTTCTGTTCCCTTCCTTTCAATTGGATCATTTGGTGTTTTGGTGACAAGCATCTTGTGTTCTTCGTGTATTTTGGAGATCAGCGCTCTGTCACATGCGGGGTTGGTGAAGATCAACTTTGACTTTATGTTTGTCAGGATCTGATGGCCCAACCTGTGGCTTCCTTTAACTTCCTCGTA